AAGCTATTGAACATAATCCTGATTAGCCTGATTCTAATAATCATCATATTAGCTAGGGCTAATTAGAATAGTTTTACTTGAAGTGCTCATGATTAACATTCCATTGATTAGCATGGTTTAGTTACCTCATCAACTACCATGCATCAGTTAGCCCGTTACTATTACATGCCTTTATTAGCACTGTCTTAAGATGTGTTAGAATTATTTGGGCCTTACCGTGACTTGGCGTAGTTAGCTTGGTCATAGCATGTCCTGGCCTAACTAGCTAGGTATACTGCCTAGCCAAATAGCTAATTAGCCGGGTGCTCGTGCTCAGGTGCTAGCAGATGATGAAGACGATGAAGAAGGCGTGCACCAGCCAAGCAGCGGGATGGAATGTGCAGCCTGACCAAGATGATTAACACTTGGACTTGGGTTTAGCTGCGGTTGTGTCATACGCTCGGCCGGAACTAATATCAGAGGCCACCGGGCTGATTATTCTAAAACAGACTGGATGCGGGCAATAAAAGCTTCAAAATAAATTTAAACACCCCTGCCTCTAAGAAATAGCATGACGAAAAGTTTCTGACACCTATATTGCATGGGTGCACTTCTGCACTCAGTGGAATGACAAACAAATGAAAGAAGATGCCTCGGGTTTGAAAACACTGCCCACCTTTATCAAACATCCTTCATGCTATGACTGGTTCAATCGTAACCATTGAAGCGCAGCGCGCTGAGGAGTGGATTTGACTTTTTCGTCCTGGTTGGCTCATTCAAAAGGCGGTGTCGCCAGAGCTCAGAAGGATCTCGAGTTTCACACAACTCTGGCTAAATTCGGCCAATCCTGCATAGCACCTCTGGAGTTCTTTTACGCACACCTAAAGATAAGTAAAGGGCGTTCTTGCATTTCACTCCATGGAGGAAGAAAAAAAGAAATGAGGGAGCACTACTTCACACCAGTGAACTCACCGTGTCGGCCCAACACATCATCAAAACGCATGCGGTAGGTTTCAGTAACCTGTTGTGTTTTGAACCTTCTGCATGAGCAGGCTGCCAGTCTCTGCCAAACAAGCGCACTTCGATTAAGAGTTACCTAAGGTCACCATATGACCTACTAGGTGCCATGCTCCAAAGTATCGACAAGTCTTCTTACCGACGGGATCTTGCGCTAAACGTCACGTGTTGAGCCTCCACTGCTGGCTTCAAAACAGGTTGGCTTGCCAATGCTGGCTGCATTTTCAAGCCTCCTTTGTTTTTCTTTCCTCCCTATTTCGCCCCATCAAAATGCGACCGCTGTGGCTGCAGGAATTGTACACGCATTTTAGCATTTAACAGCGTCTCAACAGCACTTAACAATAGAAAAGTCAGGCTTGTGCAATGCTTTAGTTCTTACTTGGTGTGTGAGCAGTGTGCATTTTTTGTAAACACGGCTGTGGCAGCGAGCGAAGTGACGTTCATGTTCTCTTCAGCCCCTGTTACATTAAAGCAAGCTTGCCGTGGAATCAAAGAGGTACAAAGCAACCGAACCACGGGATAAGCGCACGCAGACGAGCAACGGCCTGTGGAGGCGCAGGCTCATCGCAACGCGCGGGGTGATGATCTGACGCACGCAACCCTAGAACCCCTTGATCTAGGAAAGGCACATTTTCTGCTCGATTCTTCTCAGCCACCCTCGGTGCATAGTGAGCTCGGCGCCATTTTTCGCCGAGGTGCCCAAAGATGCGCCGCCGAATTCAATAGAGGCGCGTGATTTCTGGCCACTTGCATGCCCTTGTAGTATATAAAAGTTTGAAAAATGCCGCTATCGAAATCATACGTGGAATTAAAGAGAGTCAAAGCGACAAAACTCACCGGAAAATCAGTCGCTTTGCGCACTAAGCGGCTGGAAAATCATGTCGCGAGGAGGACGCCAAAAAATCTATCCCAGACTGACTTTTCCACTACGCAAAGTGGATCATTTTTCCGTTTAAGGGCTTTCACTGCACTAGCTAAAACCTTGTGATGTGAACAGCTGGTCGTAGATTCAACATAGCAGGAGAGGCGTCGGCGGTGGCTCGCATTGGCTCTAGCTGCAAGCGACACGTGCAGCAGGACGAAGCTTCACGGCCTCAACGAGGATGCATTCATTGAGTGCCTGGTTTGGTTTACGATCACTGAGAACACTGGAAGTAGGCGCTGCAGCAGCAGGAAGTCAGCATGCTCCAACATGTCTCGCTTTTGTACAGCCGGCTGAATCTGTCGCCACCGCCACTGCGGGTGCGTTCGCTCGTGTCATTCCTGCTGGCTTATCTCCTGAAACAACGTTTTAAAAAGTACGAGCTGTTTCTTTTCAGTACTTTGCATGAATAACTAGCATTCGCTATGAAATTTAGTGCTCAGAAAACAGGCAAAATGCATTGAATTCTCAAACAAGTGACGGCGGTGGTGTGCACGAGGGGCAGAACGAATGTGAACATTTCTGACACGTGCAGACGTGGTTATCTGGCTGCTCGGACGCTTTCGGTTTCTCCTCGCTTCTCAAGTGTGAACGTGCCATAAAAAAGAAAAAAATGCTTTGTGGCCTACTGGCCTCACGTTCGACGCTCGGCTATGAAGCTTTTTCGTTTCTTTCTTTGAAGTCTTTTAGTGTATATTTTACAGAGTCATACCTGTGACAGAAATACGTCAGCAGAGTCATGATGGACCATTGCTTAAAACACTTTCGTGTTAAAAGAAAATAATTTGGAATTTCTTCATTGACAGCCCTGGGGAATCGGTATCAGAAAGCTGCCGTATGACCAAATGGCTTAATAGCCGTAAAAGGGAAACTTCAAAAATTATTTTCAACCTTGAAAGGAAAATCAAAATGATAAAACTCGCAATAAAAAAACTATTTATTTTCTTTCAATTGAGGTATGAACGTACTCTATGGTGCAAAAAGCTGTTACAGTGCTCGGTGCTGACCGCGTGTTTGATCCCTGTCGCGGTGGTCCCTCTTCGATGGAAGCGAAATGGCAGAGGCTATATACTGGTCACTGTCAGTGCACGTTAAAGAACACCAGATGCTCAAAATTTCCGAAGTCTTTTACTACAGTGTCTCTCATAATCATAGTGTGGTTTGTGGACTTGAAACCCCAGATAGTATCCTTATAATACAATTATTAGTTTTTGGTATGAAGGTGATTTTTATAGGAGCGCCACATGGTGCAAGTTGCGTCTCAGTGTAACGTTGCGCAAGTCACATTGAGACGCAAATGTGCAAGTTGCGCGTCAATTGGTATTTTTTCACAGCAATGCTTCACTTTCATGTAAAATTTACGATCTACAGTGGTCACGAATTATTTTTAATGCCAGTAATATTTTACTTTGAGTATGTATTGATTACTCGTGTATTTGTGAATAGTGTCATTGTGAAGGGAAAATGCATAATAGATAACTTTCTCAAGATATTTGGAGGCGTATATAGCAGAAAATTTGCAATGATCTTGAGCTTCAAACACGTTGCACAAATGCCTTTGCCTAATATGTAAACAAAATTTGGTATTGAAACAAGAAATGCCTCTCTCAAAATGAACTTTCTGACACTCACAGGATATTGGTGCATGTTGTTAGACACCCGCTGTAGTCGTGCGCCGCTTCTTGCTCTTATGAATTTCGTCACACCAACTGACAAGCAAAATTCACCAAGCAAAACGCGCCATGCAACACTGGACTGCACGTGTCAACACAGGTGCGCTGGAAAAAGAAGGCTGGTGGCTTTTTGAAGGAGTGGCACGCAGCGAGATGCTAGAAAAAGAAGTTGACAAAGTTTTCACTAAGGAGCTCAGGACAACTTCTGTGTATTTTGTTGACGGGCACAAGTTCGCACAAAATAGATGGTTGTTTTAGCTGCTGGCGTTGTACTTGTCTGTTTCAATATTATGCAAAATTCATAAGGCTCCCATGTGATGAGAATTTTCGTTCTCCTTGAAATATTTTAGCAATTCACTGTTATTCATTAAATCGGAAGGATTTCTTTGGTACACATTTGAGATGGTCACCAGAATGTCTGGGACATTAGGCGTCAAATGACCTGCTTTAGTTGTACCTACACCCCTTATGTTACACCCTCGACCTTAGCGCATGGAGGGGTAACTTGAATGAGTTAATTAATGCTGCCGGGTAGAGCTGACTAACATCAGCCCATTGTGCTTACTGTTATTTAAGTGGAGGCTGTAGTCGGCTACTTCGTTGCCTTTTACCTCAATTTTTGTGGATGCGCAGAGAGAAAATGAGTAAGTCCCACCAATAAATCTATTAGTGATGGCTGGTGTTGGCTAATGTTCCTTAGTATTAGATGATGGTGCTGGATTTTCATCATCATCATCAGGCTGACTGCGTTCATTGCAGGACAAAGGCCTCTCCCATGTTCAGCCAGGCAACTTCGTCCCGTGCTTGCTGCTGTTTCATACCCCCAAACTTCCGAATCTCACCTGCCCACCTAACTTTCTGTTTCATCCACTTGTTTTAATTTTCTTTGAATCTAGTCTGTGATCCTGAATAACCAGCGATTATCTCGCCGTCGTGCTACGTGCCCTGCCTTTGATTTTACTATGTGTTTAATGAGTTATGCAGTTTAGCTTAAGGCTACAGTGCAATCTCACAATTGTCTAGCTAACCACAATTGCTCAGCTGTCGACTTGTAATATGACCACATGCTACGTGATGTCAACAGGCAAAAAAGAGGGGTTCCACACTCGCTGTCATGGCTACTAGCAGCGCTTACTGACAATGCCACATTCAAGTGCATATTTATACCCTATAAACTGGAAGGGGCGGATGACCTCCACTGTAGCTCAGTTGATAGAGCATTGGATGCATTATTCGAAGGTCGCAGGTTCGGTGTGTACCAATAGTGGATTATCTTTTGGTTCACTTTACTTTCTCACATTTACATTACTAATGAAATCCCCTGTACTTTCCTTGGCATTATTGTCTGTAAGTTCTCATTTAGTTAGCCAGTAGGGAACTTGTGATGCATTTGTTTTCTTTTTTTTCAGGCGGAAACCTTTGGTGACTCTTTCGTGCTTGACAGTGCCATCAGCGAGGAAACCAAAAAAGGAATTACACAGGCTGTGAGTACCCTTGCAAATAGTGGAGAGCTGCACTGCCAGCGTTTATTTATGTTAAGCTGAGCAATGCTTGCCCATTTTGATGTATTCTACTGTTGCGTGATGCCAAAGATACAGACTGACAAGGGAGACGTATACTGCTAGAAGCATTCGCAAGATGAGCACAGTCAGTGATCGAAATGAATCACACTAGAATGAAATGTTGGACCAGTTCGGGCAGTGATGGAATTATTGTGCCAAACTGCACCAAGAGAGGACAGTTTGTTACAATCAGGTATACATTTGAGAAAAAGTTCCATGAATTGGGCCGAGCTTGCAATATTTGAGACACCACATCTGCTTTCATGTGTGTAAGTGCAAAGCGATTGCTGCATTGTTGGAATAATGTTCGCTTCTAGAATCGGCTCAAGATTGCAGGGGCAGCGTGGCGCTATGACTGTTTAGTTGAGTACTGTTACACTGAGATAATTAGCGGGTAGTTGTGTGTATTGCTTTTCTTCTTAACAGCTCTTGCGAGTGGCATATGTAAGAACTTTGGGCACTTAGGGTATGAAGACCAAGGAAACAGCGGTGATGGTGACATTTTTCTTTTGCTTTTCCTCCTCCTCCTCCTACCCCTCACTTCCCTTTTCCACCCCTTAGTTCACCCCTCCCCTCTTCCTGTTCCACCTCTCCCTCACATTCTCTCACCCTTAAAGTTTTCTAAGGTTAACTAGAGGAGACTCGATCGTTCAGCCATCATGGGAATGATGGGTAGTACATGGATTTGTCTAGTCTTCGTGCTTGTGGGCTTTGAACGCACTTGCGGCTTTGTTTATTGTTTTGTTTTGGTTTTGTTTTGAATATAAGAATAGACCATTGTGAACTTCATGACCCGATTTCATTTGGTGAGCCTAGCCCTCTTCACAGACCCAGAACGCCTCACTCATCTAGGTAACAGCTAGCATCTGTCAAAACACATCATCCGATCTCATATTTGTCAAAAACATAAGTTTGCCAAATAGTAAGACACAGAAACTAATGCAGGCAGTGATTACTACTTCATGATATAGCCACTACATTCCTACTCAGTAAATTTAGGAAAGGAAAAACGAAAGTGAAACATACTAAGGGGGACACTTTCAGAGACATCATAAATGAAAGAGTACCCCCAGAACTCACAAACATGGAAGAGTAGACATCCAACCTAATCAAAGACGTGAGCAAGGCCATCATTGAAGCTGAGATCGAAGAGGATCACCTGACTCCTAACTCGTGGTTTATACACTTGTGGGAGGCTAGCTCAAGAATTTAGAAGAGATGGATGTCTCAAAACACAAGAAAACCTTACGAAAGAAGATAGCTAAAATCAACAAATAAGTCCAAAATCACACACGAACATTGCAACATCCCACTTGAGAACACTGGTACTAATAGTGTGATTGGTTAAATGGCTATTTAGCTTACAAAAGCGCCTAGTTTCTACTCGGACATCTGAATAATCTCATACACACGAAATTCAACACAAGTAAGCACTGGCAGGAACTCATCTGTTCCTATCTTGGGGATGAGAGTGACCTATATAATACAGAATCTGCAAAGTGAATACTTCAACACCAACATAGACATGCCCACTCAGGCTAAATATGAAGGAGAAAGCAATCCAGCCTTAGACATGATGCTGAATTTCGAGCAGTACTCAACTAGATTGAAATGGCTGTCACAGTAGGCAAAAATAGAATAGTAAACAAAGTGCTCCAAAATTTACATTATCACACTATCATCCATGTTACTAAACTATTCAACATATACTGGGCCACTGAAAAACTTTGGCCTAGATGAAACATACCACCATAATCTTTATTCAGAAACTGGGCAAGAATTTAGATCTGGGAAGCCTTCGATCAATGTCTCTCACCTCCTGTTTAGGCTTGGTGATGGAACATAATCATTCATTCATTCATTTATTCATTCATTCCTTCATTCAGACTTTATTCAAGACAATTTACATTTGTCTTAGGAGACATAACAAATGCCCAAAATTCTCCTGACTAGGCTACATCACCCAGACAGCAATTGTGACAACAATTCACATAACTGCAAGAGCAGTGCAATGGTACAATAGTAGAACAATTATAAAAACTACTATCTTAGCTTTGAGAGCGAAATAAACAGGAAAACAAAAAGCAACAAGATAGTGGTACACATGTGGAAGTATTTGTTTAACGAGATTCTACAATGTATATTACACAGTATTTAACCACAGTTTAGTACATAACTGAGTATAACATTGTAAAACTCAGGAAATACTTCTTATTTGCTTTTTCAATTGTGTTGACATTCTATTTAGCAGTGGGGTGATTCCACCTAAGATCGAACAAAGCATGGATGGTCGACCTCTTAAGTTTCTTTCAAAATTTTATATATTACCTTACTCATGGAAAGAAGAAATCTGCAATTGGTTTTGCTTTAAAAAATTTTTTGGAAGCACAGTAAATCAATAGGACCTTTGGACCTATTGGTTACCTATGTTGTAATCCCGCCTCACCGAGAAACTCTGTTTTACTTATTTCTTGTGCTCTTCGTCCTCACTTCTCCTTTGCTTCCTCCAGGGCGTTGCTAGGTAGCGCACTCTGTGCAGCTGTGTGAAGTAGTTGCCAAACAACGAGAGTTTTCTTTTATTTATATTGGGCAAAATATGGGAAGGTAGGCTACGCTAGAGCCGGCTATCTTAACATCATGGCAGTAATATACAGGATAAACACATTAACAAGAAAAATTAAGAATGAAATAGAAAAAACTAATCAAAGGCACTATGTACATACTATATACATTATAGGGCTTACAATGCATGAATGAGCACTGTATGTATGGTCATAGTTCAGTTCAAATATCGGGATAACATTGCTGATAGAGTCTGTACAAATACCGGTAAGGTGTAATATGAACTAAGGACAGTTCATTAGATTTGTGTTCATTGAAAAATCATGGAGGGAGCTCACTGCGCGCCTTTTATCGTCCCCAGGATTCCGGCTCACGAGCAGGAGGCGCGCTTTCCCGCACGGTGGGGGCAGGGCTCCGCGTCAATCTATAGGACCGAAGAAGAAAATGATAATAACTCCTCTCCCTTTCTGATTTCCTCATTGCTCTCATAATTTCAAGTAGCTACTGTATGAACCTTTCTTTTGCCGCAGTTCTAGTATCGTGGTTGCAATAGTGTGAGTTCCCTAGCTTATTAATTATTAAATGATAATGCACAACGCCTATGGGCGCTCTCAGAATTATCGGCTGTTTTACCGCATTTGAATCGCTGCCCTGAAGGCCTGCTTGAAGATATCCAATTGTTTTCTGGGATTTAGATACTGACATATGTCTAGTTCATGATGGCATAGAGTGTGTTTGATTCCCGTGGTAAAAGAAAGTTCCCTGGCCGGTTTTGTTCAGGGTGCGACAGCCATCCAGCCCTCGTAGCTCCATCTAGCGTTGGGATGGTTTACTATGTGGTGCCACGTAAAAATTGAAATAGGGTGCGCATGAAAAGAGAGGATTCCTGAGGAAGGCACTTATGACACCGCAAAATGATATTTAGGGTTTGTTGAGGTAAATAAAATATCTGTAGTATAGCACATCAATAGGGTACTGTTAAAAAGGACGAAATGCACGTTGCTGAACATCCAGTGTATGTACGACATAGACCCCTCAATTCACAGCACATTCTCAAGTTTTACAGGTTGCATAGTAGTTTTAGCTATCTAAAAGATCCACTAAAATTTCAATACAACCTAGGCAATCAATTATTGTCCTTTGTCTCACAATATATGCACCTTGGTCTTATTATCACATCTAAATTCAGATGAAACGAACATGTTTGTTATACTGAGAAAATGGCTTTGAATATGCAAGGCTACTTAAGACGGGCACTCGCTATGGCATTCGGTAAACCTAAATGACTGCATGTAAAACGTACGTAATACCAATACTAGAATATTCATCGGCTGTCTGGGACCCGCACACGCAAGCTAACACAGATAAACTTTAATCAATACAGCGAAAAGCTGTAAAATTCATATTCAATACCTAAAAGTAACACATATCCGTCAGCTCTTCTGGAAGGCGCTAAACTAAAAACCTTGGAATGGAGACGTTATCGCGAAATAACGAAGCTGTTCTATTGCATTTATAATAATAGGCTGGCAATACAAAAAAAAAAAAACTAATTATATCGAACCAGTTTTGCACCACAAAATGCGTGCCTTCAATCTTGAAAGAGTGACTGAGCCTCTATATACAGGTACTTAGTTTTTTCGAACAAGCAGAGAGCGGAACAATATGCCACCAGAGATTCTTGAAAGTGTCGATTTCAACTAGTTTCTTCGTGCGTTAGCTGTTTCACATGGCTCATGACTACACCTTCATATATATTACAGTGCGCTTCATTTTAATACCCATCTTGATCAGATTGATTGCTTGAGGTTCAATGCCTCGCTTCTGCACGATTCTTAAATGCTTCGATTCTGCAATGTCTCGCTTCCTAATATTGCCGACTTTATTTTTGCTACAGTTAATATTTGAGTTCTTTTTACCTACCCAAACAATAACCTAGTGGACACTGTTTTTATAGTTTTTGTTTTGTTTAGTGTATTATCACCATTCTTGAGATTGTGGACCATGTTTCATGTCACTTATATTTTTTGTTTTGCGTTTTGAATCATCGCGCTTTCGTTCAACACTATCTATACTGCTGTACCTCCTACACAATGCTGCGTCCACTGCGCCACACACCCCTGCCCAATGTCCGGCACTAGACTGGCACTTTTTCTGTAAAATAAATAACAATTCTTTAAATAAATAAATCCACTTCCTTTTTTTTCCTTGCACAACTCTCCAATTTAATGATAGAAATTAAAATATTAATGGAAGTAAGTTAAAGGAGAGAGATATATTATGCTGAAAAGCGGGGAGGTTGAATTTGTTAGGAACAAATAACTCTATTTGCACTGTGTTATGCTCACGATAGCCATAAT